CAAGCTAAAATGAGTCACCTCATGCTGCCAGAATGGAGTAAGACTTGTGTGCTCCGAGGAAACTCTCTCTTTGACTTAATCTTTCTCTAAGAGTCAGATCTTTCCTCTGGGAAAGGGGAAATCTTGGCTTGGACTGAACCTACCTCACTTGTTTTTGGCTGCACAAAGACATTTTTCCGTGACTGCACAAACACCCCGTGACTTTCACTCAGAACCCCCCTGAGAACATTTTTAAAAATCATTATTTAATTCATTCTAATCAGGCAGCAAGAATCCTGGTTCCAAAAGTGATTTTGTTCTTCTGATAGAGTCTGGTAGAGTGCCTGTCCTTCAGATACCTCCCCCTCAACTCTTCTTCACTGTACTGTAATGAGTGATGCTAAATGTTTCACAGGTCCTGGGGATATGCCCAAGTCTAGGCCACGTTCTCCTACCATCACTTGACTGCAATTTATGTTACTGCAAAATCTGCCCTGTTTAAGCCATTCAGGAACTGGAAACTTGCACAGATCCATACACAGAAGATGACTCTGCTCAGGGATGATGTATGAAGCTCTCTCTTCTAACATCCCTGGAGGGCATAGGAAACTTGTGTGAGGAACTGCACCACAAATCTTGAATCAGAGAAATCTCGGCTTACTGATGTAGTCCATATTCGCAGTGCATATACCTGTATCACTTATTCCACCTCGCATATGGAATACCCGTACAGCAGCTTTATACCGAGTAGCTCCACTCAGAGCATATGATCATGGCCCAACTGTTGTGTATAGATAAGTTGCAGTTCTACAGAAAAAGGCAGTTAATTTTCTCTCTCTGTTTAATAACAGTTTTAAAAGCATCATTCGTCATTAAATACCCAGCACTTAAAGTAACACAACTCAGAAATCTGGTTAGCAATAAAGTCATTAGGCTAAAGACCTTCAACAAATCATAAAGGAAGCTAGAGGATATTCCTTTTAAACTTCTAATTATTGCCAGTGACTCTGTTTCCTAAGTATTTGTGCCTGATTGTTATAATTACTTCACAAGCTGCTAAGAATCCTTTATACTAGTAGCTGGAGCTATAAACCCGCCCAGAACTGTTTTATTAAACAAGAAATTCTTCAGAAACTCTAATTTTTTTTTTTTTCCTGAATGGGCTATTTAAGAGTGAATTTTACAAGATATGAGCCTTTGTAGCAGGAGCAAGAAGTCTCCGTGCCACAGTGAGCTAGGTTCTCTCTCGGGTTAGATATGTACTAGGCTCTGAAAGAGGAGAGCAGTGAGGCTAAGAAGTAGGATAAAGCTGTCATGCAGAAGGCATGTGAACACACAGCCCCACGATGGGACAACCAGGAGAAAGAAAATCCAGAAAAGCTGAGAAACATACTGTGTTTCCAGTGTTTCCAGTTTTTCCTGACTCTATAAAAAAGATCAAATCCCCTGCCTAGTGTGCAAGACACACTGGAGGCAGAATGATGTGAGGACTGGAACTGGGTGGCATGAAGAATTAGCTATTGAACGTGAGTTTAGCGCATGCAAGCAAAGGGCCCTGGCCTGGTCTACCGCGCTGATAGCTCCAAGCGGTTTGGTCATGCAGAAAGGAGACCATCTAGTCTGGGCTGTGCTGATACTGCATAAACCCAGTCTGTGATACCAGCTAGGCAATGCGGTGAAAAGATGCTTGGGAAGAGCTTGGGTCTTGAAGGCTGAGCAATAAAACAGGCTGGGCTTAGTAGCTTGGCTACCGTGCTGTCCCTGCAATCTTGGAATGAGCTTGGTTATCCATATATATATGTGTGCGTAGATATGCTGCAATGCTCAGCAAACACCTTAGTCTGTGCCTCAGTTTCCCCAACTGAAAATATGGATAATCCAGTGCAGGCATTGCATGTGGTCCTTTGAGAAGGACTTGAAAACTGTTGTGTACACGAGGCCTAAGTATTGTAACACCAACATTCATTTTTATGTAAAGTCCACGCCAGCTGTTGAAAGGAGGAATTGCAGGAGGATTCTCACTTTTCCAGCATACAGTCCGTGAACTATAGCGTACAGAGCCTTGTTTCTCCTGGGTAAATGTCAAAGCTGCATATCTGCCAGAAGAAAGGCTAGTAAATGGTTTTAGGTACTAGCTATTAATCTTTAGAATTAGTTGCTCCAAATCCAGACTGCAAATATAGGAAACAAACAAAAAAATGAAATTAAGGAGATTTATCGGGAACAGTTGTTGCTTCACGCTGTTTGGGGTTTCAGCAAGAGAACAGATCAGTGAAATATCAGCACAAAGGTGTAAATTAAGTGGGAATACTCTAATAAAAAACACTTGTTTATTCTATGCAGCCAGCCCTGTCATTTGTCACCTGACAACACAGGAGTCAGGACGTTAATGGTAGCTCCCAGTTGTGCCTGAAAGATGCCTCATCAGGGTGCAGATATTAATACTTGCAACAAACAGGGCTGATTTGTTCTTACAAAGAATTGGAGACACCCTGTTGTGTGAGACAAAGCTCTCTGAGCAACAGCAAATAAAGCCACAAATAGAAGACTCAGAGCAGTGATACGGATGTACTGAGCTCTCTGCATGTACTATGGCCTCCTGAGTGCACCTTTCACAGCTCCTGCCCAGCTGCTGATTTCAGCCAAAACGCAGGTGATTTTTGGGTGGAGACGACAGTGACTTGTAGGTGCCAAGCTCTGTCTTCATCTGAACTAACACTTTGGTCTTTGGTCATTAGAGAGTCACTTTGTGTAACCTTAGGCTGAAATTGTGAACATGAGCTGGCCCTCACTGAATGCAGAAGAAATAAGATACCCTGAGGGAAATGGCCTGTTTAAAGGAAAACCAAGATAGATCCTGTTTTAAAAGTGTGAGCACAGCTCTGAGAGAAAGAAGAACCAGCAAGATGGTGCAGAGCATGTAACAGAGACCTGAAGCCAGGTTTTCTGCTGATATGCTCTTCTCAGCAGGACGGTGGCAGGGAGGTGAAGCCTATATGCCCTGGAGGGCTCTACAGGGAGCTGATCTATGCCTGAAACACCCATGGAGTGAGATCCCCCTCAGTCTTGTCGGCCCCCCAAAACCCAGCCCACACCACAAGTAGCAGCTGTCATTGTTACTGCAGGAGCAGCCTATGGATCAAGCAGTGATAAAGAGTATACAACACAAAGCAATATATGGTCATTGCATCAATGAGTTGTGATTAACTGCAATCACCTTGTTACGCAAGATAACGAGGGCTGAGAGGAGGGAGAACAACCAATAATACTCTTTCTTTCTAGCAAACGAATGGAGTAATGGAATGAGCAGCAATCCTTAGAGATCCCCTGAGACGTTTCCTGGAGGGACGCTCCCGGTCCTTTGGGAGGTCACGGATTTCCATGCACAGGCACAGTGATGCGGTGCAGCCATCTGCCGATCCCAGTAGGCCCTCCACGGCGTGGCTGCAGCTGTGAGAGAAGTTCTGGGGAGCAAGGTGACCCTGTATGTCCCAATTTAACTCTTCCTTCTCTTCCCTCACCCTTCGTCCCCAGTTTTCCTCCCAGAGCACCAATCCCTGCTTGGCTTTTCTTACCAATTAAATTCTCAGGCACGAATGGAGCAGATTTTGTTGCTAAGGAGCTTTCTACAGCAACAGAGATGTGGACAGAACTGTCTCAAAGCCCAGTTACTGTTGGAAACCATTTAAACCTCTTATCTCTAAACAATTCAGAGGTATTCACTTAAACGCAGAGCTTTTGAAACATGAGTCTCACTTGTTTTTCAGATTTCCATCATCATATTCCAGCATATTTGAAGATGAAATCCTTTGGCTACCAGCTGCATGCTGCTATTGACACTCAGGCATGGCTCAGAGTGACTTATCACAGCTTTCAGATTTAAGGAAGAACTGGAAGTGTTGTGCATGTTTGTCCACAGAATACCGACCTGTGCAACAGCCCTGTGCAGGCCCATCTTACAGGAGATATGCAGCAAATCCAGTGCATCCTGCAAGCCTCCGCCCCAGTCTGCCTGAGCTACAGAGTGGAGCTGCACGTGCAGGGTAAACCAAAGGCAAGCAGGACTTAGTGCTCAGATGTAGTGTAGCTACTCGGGTCCATTTCTTCCTTCATTGCGGATGGGGTCTGGACAGGCTGATGGAGGAGAAATCCTTCACAGAAGGTTATAAAATACCCACCGTCACCTTTGCCTCAGGAACAACGTGTGACTATCTACATACATATAAGTATGTGTGTATATATATTCACACACACACATGTATACACATATAGCAGTTGTCCTGTTCTCTTATTTTTCCTTTGGCACCTGCTTTTGCCCCCTGCCCCAGGCTGTGTGCTGGATGCTTTCAATCTGATTGCACGAGGCCATTCCTGTTCTTCAGGCACTTGGGTGCCTGTGTATTCATGTAGGTGTCCAATACCCTATGTCCAGTCTCCTTGTCCCTCCCATGGTTAGGCACAGGCTGACTCATGTCCCCTTCCTCGCTTTCCATTTGTTCATGTCATTTCCAAAGCACCTTCCTTCCCTGTTCCCCACCCAGGCTTATGGATTTCATTTTCCCTAATGGCCACGTCTTCCCCTTCTTTGAAATCATTTGCAGAAAGTTAATGTCAACCTGGTTTAATTAAAGCCTCTGCAGGTTTAGCGTCTTTAAATCATTTCCTTCAAGCAGTCTTCATATGAAGTTATCACTTTGTCAAAACATGATCCAAAACCACAGCTCAGGGCACAGTGGGAAGCACACAAAGGGAGGGCGAGGAGCTTGGAAAGTTTTGGTGAGCTGTTGGCTGGAAGCTGCCGAGCCCACCCCTCCAAGACCTTTATTTCCCCCTGCGGCAGCTGTCATCTGATCCCACGCTATGGCTTTGAATGGGGCTCTCTGAGGATGCCAGATGTTGGGAACAAAGGTCTAAAAATAATCTTTCCAAATAATCTTTCCATCTATCATTCAAGGAGAGCATGTGCTTTGTGTGAACATGTGAGCTGAGAACCTGATCTAACTTGGAGTAAGGAAGTTCAACAGCAGCTTCTGGCTTCTGGCTCGTGGGCTCCTTTTTTTTTTTTCCCCCTTCCCTTCCCAGAAGCTGCGCAGCAAAAAGCGGCTCTCTCCAGCAATCAGCCCTCGCTCTCCCTCCCTCTCCGTCTCCCTCCCTCCCTGCCAAGACTCTGAGTCGTCCGGATCCTGGAAAGCTGGGCTCCTTATTTGATCTCTCATTGGGAAAATGGATTCCAGGGCACTGTCAGAGATGCATTTCTGTAAAAAGATCATCGCTGCAGCCTTGTGTGTCTTAGTTTTACTCCCAGATTCGGGCTGTGCAAGGAATCTCTGGAAACGTGCTCTGCATCTGAAAATGACGGAAAAATATGATGTGAGTAGCCAGCAGTGGGGCTGTTTGGGGGAACTGGGGATGCTTAGCATGAAATGGGGGGTTTTCTTTACATCCAGTGTATCATTTTTAGAATAAGAAGTGTTTGAATCTGCAGTCTGTCTCTTTGTAACAGGGCTGCGTTAAGTTTCCCAGGCTGTACTAAACTTTTGCCACCTAGCTGCTGCGATGAGGAACTTGTAGATAAAGGCATGCTTCAGCCAGTGAGAAATACGTTGGTGCTGCAATAAGCACCGCTTCTCCTAGAAAATTCATAGGGCAACAAGGGAAGCCTGAATGGAGAGAGGGAGAACGTAACTGTAAGTATCAAAACCTGCCTATGTGAGAATAAGTTTACTGAAAAGAAGGTGATTTGCTTCATTACTTAAGAGCAGGGAGCAGGCTTGCCTGCCCAGTTCCTCCACTGTCTTTTGGGGTAACTTTGGGCAAATCCCTCCAGTTCCCAGTGATAATGTGTACTATAAGGATAGCGTACAGTGGCATTCCCCAGGGTTTTGTAAATCGCTGGAGTACAGAGATCTCCAGACGCGCAGTGTAACATGCCTACGTGTTATATTAATAGCATAAGGAACCGACGGGAGAAAGCCATTCTCACGGCTCTGCCTTCCCTGGCTCCGTCCCCGGCAGCAGCTCCCTTGCTGCCCGGCCCTGGCAGGTGCCCGGCAGCGCTGCCTGCCCACGCTCACTGCGCAGGCAGCTGGCACCAACCTTACTCGTATCCTCAGGCCATCACAGCTGAGAACAACCTGGGGAAGGGCAGGAGACTGTGCAAAAAAGCTGCAGCAACTGAGCTGCAGGGACTCCAGTTCCCCCTCGGTACCCAGGAGGCACCCGGAGAGCTTGCTGTACCTGACCTAGTGTGTTAGAGGGGAAAAACAGCCGTGTGGTATGCTCCAGGGTGGTACTGAGCGCTGCCACCGTAGTTCCCAGCTCTGCTGTGTGTGGAGAAAGGGATGGAGCTGAATCTCATTTTGGTGTGTCTGGGCCAAAAGAGTCTGTCAGAGATCACCATGGAAGAAGGAAAAAAAAATACACATATATATACTAGCTTGACATTCAGGACCTGCTGTTTAAAAAGGAAAAAATAATCTTGGAATTGATCCACTGAAGTCCCCTTGGAAGCCAGCACTGACCTAAGGCTTTTGCCCCTTGAACGGCTTAGGCAGAAGGGCAGGCAGTCTGCTTTCCCGTGCTCGGGTGGGATCGCACCTCCAGCCATTGCATGTGCATAAACAGCCCCTTGGCTTCACAGCGGGGATTTCTCCATCTGTTTTCTCCAGCCACCTACAAAGGCTTTTAGTTCAAAATGGACACCTTTTGGCCCATGGTGTCTAGAGTGATCAGTATGGGAACAGATACATTTTGTTTGTGTAACTGTTGACTCAGAAGTGTGGCACATGTGTTTTACCTGTGATGAATGAGATGAAATACAGTGTTTTTGTCTCCTTGAAGTTTTGCAGCAAAGTTGTACTAACATTTTAAAGGTACACAGTTATTTTCCAGCAAGACTTTTGCTTCATTTTAGTCCCCTTTGGGACAGAGTATCTGCTGGTTTCCATTTTAACTGGGAAATGATGAAGTGCTAAATCACTGATTGGAAAATGTGTTTGTGAGTATGTTCTTCTGTCATTTTTCAGTGCAAAGCTCAAATTCAGTAGGAGCTATAAATTAAATGGCCCAGAGAGATAGGGCAGGAGTAGAACAGGTATTTGCATGTTTATCTTCAGATAATGTGTTCTATAAAGACACAGAGCCCGCTCCCCTAAGGATATATTCTCTTTCAATCTGCAGTTCTTCAAAGGAATGTTTTTTTCTGGCAGCTGTGAATCAGGTGCTACTCATCTGGCAGACTCAACTAGAATTGCTCATATTGACAGGAACATTTTATCTAGGGAAAACAGCAAATGTCTTTCTTTTTCCTTCTCCTTGAAAGCCTTGTGAGGAGGAAGCAGTCGTCTCCTTCCCCTTACCCGCAGATCGGCTGTTTTGGAAGGCCCTCTTGTTTCTCAAGATGCTTTCTTTTGTACCAAACACTCTATGTATGTTCCCTACAGTTAGCAAATCGGAGACAAACAGCTGATCTGTGAGTCACTTGGACAGAGAGATAACAGATGGAGGTACTCATGGTACTCATGGTGTGGTGATACGGGAGGTGGACCGCAGACATCCCCATGGGACCCCCACTATGACATGGACAAGGTCTCTGACAAACGCACTGTAGGAGGAGGCGAGGGGAAGGATGCAAACTGAGAATTACCTTGTCCGAGTCCAAGAAATGGGAATCTGCAGTAGGAGGAATCCATGCCCCAAACTGACGGCAGCAGAATGATAAGGAATCATGATGAGGAACTGGTCTGAGGTCTGGTCAGGAATGGTTCGTTCCTGATTTTGATGAAGGCTGTTGGTTGGAGAGAAGGGGTCAAGTAGGAATGCAGAAGGGAGGGGAGGGAATGGAATAAGAAGAAAAAATTTGCAGTCATGGTAGCATGGAGGAACTGGGGTTCCAGCTGTTAGTCAACACATGCATTTTACGGTCAGAGGGACGCTCATCAAGTTCAATGACTTGCAGCTGGTGCTCTGCAGCCCCCTGCACAGTGTGTGGACTATTTCCAAAGGGCGGAGGGAGAAAGCTGACTGAGAGAAGCAAGCGTGCTGTCGGTGGGCTTGCATTCGTTATGAAGACACCACATTTCTATTGAGAAAACGGGGGGGAGGTCAACTACATCAAGTCTTGTAGAAAAAAATCCAGGATTCTTCTAAAGATTTCCGGAAGTAAAGAATTCCTCAAGTCACCTATGTTATCCCAACAACTTATTTTCTGTCCGGATAGCTGTCATATATCAACATTTAGATACACTCTTTGTCTACCAGATCAGGACACCTCCTATGATGAGATTTCTGTTTGGCATGTGCCTGAGTAACCTACGAGCAGAGTAGCACTCAGCCTCCCCCTTGAAACCCACGTGCATACATGAGTCTTTCACTCTATTCCCTGTCTTCCAGGCCTCTGAGCACCCTCTTTGAGCCCACCCCAATGCTGCAAAAGTCTTCTGGTACTGCAGACACCAGAGCTACTAATCCAGAATAAATAGAGGGAGAATATTATTCCTGTTGTTTTGGTATTGTCTTTCAGATTATTCAGTCCTCTTTCAATTTGATATTTGCATATTTAGTCATTAATGATCTTCTGTATTCTCCCAGGTCTTTGATAAAGTGCCCTTTGATGGGGCTCTAACTTCCTCCTCAGTGTTTTGTTCAGAGAAAAGGTGTTTTATGGCCATTGACTGGAAACACCTGCTAAGGGCAGAACTGAGGACAGGAGGCTGGGAGTAAACCGCATGCGTGGGCTCACAGGGTGGCCATGCAGGATGATAGTTAGCAGAAAACTGTGCTTTAACATAAACCCAAGGTCCAGTTTCAGCTGCAAATAATAAAACAGGGATCTGGGATTTTTCTGAGGCAGATGACATCCCATGATTTCGGTTGGAAATACAGGTTGAGAATGAATGATCGCATTCATATTTTCCTAGTCATCTAGGAAACCTTCCAGGGTTCCTCAGCTGAACTCTGAACTTTTCTCTTTACTTTGTTTCTGGATATCTTTAACACAGATCTTGTCATTAAAATGACTTAATAAGTCTCCACAGCAATTTGTCTCCTGAATTAAAAAAAGTTCTCAAAAGCAGAACATTTTGACAGTTGCCAGAATCTCTAAAACTGAGAAATCCAAGCTGTGCTCAAAGCCGAGTTACAAATCCTAGGAGAACTTTTAAAAAGACTGTGTAACCCATACCTATAGACAACCATAAACAGACTGTTTTGTGAATGAGGGAAACCTGTCTCCCACTAGGATTTTAGCATACATAAACCAGTGACAATGGTTTTATTAGATCAAATTTGCAAAAATATTTTCTTGGCCACGAGATTTTGAAAGAAAGGGATTCAGAGCAATAAGTGATCAGAGGGAATGGACGGGGAGGTCTTTAGGTACAAAGTTGTTTGGCTGAAAAGTTTACATTGTTCCCAAACGGAAATCTCATTCATTGAGCCAACTGTTCATTGTAATTTGGCCTTCTTGGTGTGTGAATCATTTATGAAACAACTGCCCTAACTATTTTTTGATGTATCCGTCATTTGCCAGTATTATTTTGGTCCCTACGTTTCAGTTTGTAGCTGACATTTCAAATAATGGAAGAGTAAACTGTGGCCTCCCAGTGTGAATGCTCACACGAACAAGGAGACCTATTGAAATGTTTGGAAGCATTTACTATTAAATGCTAGCTTATATCCCAAAATTATGCTTAGTCCAAGCATTTTCTGGATTTAAGAAACAACAACAACAAATAAGCTGTATTTTAAATGGCTTCAGTTTAAAAACATGTTATTTCAGAGCTGGAGCGTTTTCAGCTTTTTGAAGAATAGGGGTGATGTGTTAATATATAGCTTGTTTTACACTTTGAAATTCAAAACATTATCAAAATTAGGAAACAATTTTGTCTGTCTGTCTGTCTAGTGCTTCAAATAGCCCATCAGTTCATTGGAAAACACCTCACTGAAGGGTTTTTGAGCAGTTTCTTGTTCAGTGTACGGAAACAGCTTAGGAAAAAGCAGAAGGAAAAGTGTTATCAATATTAGGACTTGGCTGATACTGGGGCCAGGGCATGAGGCTGTCATTTAAAGAAATATTAGGAATTCAGCGATTTTGCTCTCTCTTTCTCACGCACATATACGTTATTCACCAGCTGTAAATATAGCCAGGATTGCATTTTCCTTAATGAACACCTGGTTCCATAAATTAAAACTTTAAATCCTGCTGAGTTTACTCTATATCTCCTACATAATTATTGGCTGAGTCTCACAGTGAAACCAGGCATCTGACAAACTTCACTGCTCTCTGTTTCCCCCTGGCTATTGCACAAAGAAATGAGATTAGCTTTTATGAAAGAGCCACCACCATATCGGTATGATTATACCTCGGGTACAAAACACGGCAGAACACGGAAGCAAAATTTCTCACATCAGTAGCACCAAGGTACATCATTATTTCTTTTTGTGTCCCTTGGAATTGCCTTCTTTGTCTGCGTTATGAACTATTGCAAGTGAATGGGGCATTGGTGATAACTGATTACTGCTCAGTCATATGGAGCAGCCACGGCCGGTCCCCCGGGTGGTGGACCCCAGGGGACGCAGGCAGTCCCCAGCACTGCGTGTCCGTAGCTGCAGCGGGGGATCTGGGTCGGGGAGGGAAAGGATGCAGCGACCTCCCGAAAATCAGGGACTGGTGCTCCCCTGTGATGGGAACACCCCAGTGAAGGGCTCGTGATGAAAAGAAAGGAAAGGGAAAGGGAAAGGAATAGGGAAGGGAAAGCCTTATTTTGTGCCCAAAATGCATGTATTTCAAAAGAAGATGACTGCATTACTTAGAGAAGGAAAGGAGGAAAACCTGCAAAAGGATAGTGGCAGATAAAGGCAGGCAAAGTTTTGGCATGCAGGCTTCTTCCAGAGCTGAGTGACAGTCAATATTTATTCCTTCCAGCTGAAAACCCTGCTGGGTGTATTCGGACTACCAAGGGAGAATTCAGGCAGAGGATTTTGGACATCTGTAAAATACCTCCTTGGGCCTCTTCTAGGACATTTATTTGGACAGTACCTGTGGTGACATGATGTTTCGCAAGGCAGCCGTGCCCCACAGGAACCATTCAGGTTTATCAACAGCGAGGATGTAGCATGGATGTTATCCAGGACAAAGAAGGATATTAGTCTCACCCCACATTTCTCCACAGCCCGATGGTGAAATTTCCTAGAGCCCCCCTCGAGGACAGTTGCGCCACATTATTTCTTGCAATAACAACCCTAGCTGCTTGTCACTGATTTCGAAACACGACCGTGATGGGTCCAAGTATATACAGGGACTCAAAGCAAACAGCCTGCCAGCGAGCGCATGGCAGCTCTCGCTTTATACCTTTGGCTAGATGCTGATCTCTGCTATAAGCACAAATTCAGAATCGGTCTTTTACTTTTACTAGAGCTTAGGAATGTGGGTTAATAAATCTGCACACTGAGTTTTGCCCTTTCTGAGTACTTTGTACAACTCTGGGGAACGGAGCTCAAGCCTGGGGATGAATCGTTGAGCCACAGGAGAGAAAGGTATGGGCTTGGCTGATTCACCAGCGTCTTTCTGATGGAGGGAGTTGGCTTCCTGCTAAAATGCCATCAGTATGAATCATGTTATCTAATGCTGCCTCTTATAAATTTTTTTGGTAAAATCCTGGGCCTGTTAATCCACTTTAAAACTCCCATGTCATTCTGGCGTGCAATAAACAGCTGGGCTCTTTCTGCTAGAGTTGGTCTCTTTTTCCTTATGATTAAACTGCTGTCACCCACAGAAAGCTCACTCAGATCATGTCATGTTTAAAAAAGGCCTTTAACAGCCCAGGACTTCGTATTGGGTAAGCCTGAAAGTATTTGTACCTCTTCTCTCTAAGTGCTGGTTTAGGAGAAGGTGACAAAGGGAGAAAGAGCCTGTTTAGTCACTGCCTGGGCCATGAGCTCCAGGGGTCTTCAGGGACAGAACCTTAAAAAGTACAATGGCATCTTTTCAACTATTTTACTATGCAAGCATTTTAAGGTGCTCATCATGGCGATGCTTAGGATCTTTCTCTCTGTTTCTAAGACCAGTATAAAAGTCATCTTAGGGATTTGCACCTCCTCATTGCCATTACAACAGTGTTAATTACAAAATTAGGCCCACAGTTCGTTTTATGTTGCCAAAGTACTGCGCTAGGTCCAAGGTCATACAATGTATTGGGGGCAGGGCTGGGGTTGCGGAACAGTTAGTTCTCTGCCTAGTGAGCACTTGAAAACTGACGGGAATTCCCTCTTCTATTTAACTGGCAGGATGTTTGGTATTCACCTTATGCCAAACCTTTGTTTCCTTTTCTTTTCTTTGCAAGGATTATGAGTACCCTCTTCATTCTCACAGTGCCCACTACCAGAAGAACGACCGCTGCCCCCCACCACCCCAGACCTTGCCTGACCGAGCCTGCGAGGTGCCCAGCTGCCGATCAGACTCAGAGTGCGAAAGGCACAAGCGTTGCTGTTACAACGGCTGCATCTATGCCTGCCTGGAGTCTGTACAGCCACCGCCAGGTAGGGTGGATCCAACTGCGGTAGAGAGAAATGTCAAGAGACATGTAGAAATCACGGTAATCAGTCCCTATGTGCATCTGATCTCAGGAAATGTAGTTTCAGCGTGAGTCGAGGATGAAGTTTCAGTTGCACAGCTCCGATTTCTTGGAGTTGAAGGTGTGGTGAGTACTGAATCAAGAGAGTGGAACTGATCTAAGATCGTTAGGTGTTGCGAAATTTCCACCAATACAAATAGCAGAAATTGTCTGATGCCAGTGCTTTTCCTGGGAGTATATATTCAGGAAAAGAAATAAACCTGATCTGAGGAAGTACTCGTTGAAGCCAGGCAGCTACAACTATCTCAGCTCATCCATGCTATGTGAAAAGAGGATGGGAAACAACAGTTGTTTTGGCCTTTATGACACCAGAATCTTGGGGCCCTGGATAACATCCATGGTTATTTCACTACTGGGACAATGGGAACATGAATATAAATATCTTACTGCCAGCCAGAGCCATCCTTCAGGAGCCTGGCAGCCTCATCACTGGCTGTTAGAGAAAATCAATGACTTTTTAATAACTGTATGCCCTATGGCTGTTCCTCCTTGACCATGTGGTTTGCTTGTTTCTGTCTTTTACAGTTTTAGACTGGCTGGTTCAGCCCAAACCCCGCTGGTTAGGAGGAAATGGGTGGCTTTTGGACGGCCCTGAGGAAGTCCTGCAAGGTACAGTACATTTGACTAAGTGTCTTCTCTGCAGTATGAGTAATTGAATGCTCTTAAACAAAAGGCACTAGTTTGGAAGGTAATATATTCGTCATATAGAGGCTTAATAGGGATGTTTGGGGCTGCTGGTATTTGTCTGGAGTTTCCATGGAATTGACCCTGTGTTGTGCAAGAAGGTTAGTTTCTTATGCTGTAAATCAGTTGCTCTTTACGAATATGGCTGGAAATCCTGACCTAGGATAGCCTAATCGGATCTGCCAAAGCAGCACAAAGTGCACACACAGGAGAAAGCCTGGAGACAGCAGACCACTGGAAATACTCCAATGAACTGGATTTTTGTACATTTTTGAAATTAAGTAGAAATATATCTTTTTTAGAAAAAAGCTTTGTCAACGTACATAGATTTTCTGCCAGCTCCCTAGCAGACTGTGGGCAGACTCACATTTGGAGATGTCCAGATCCAGAGCAGCCCCACCGAACAGACTTCCTCAGGACGAGGGCTCCGCTGTTTTCTAGTTCCTCGTGTCTGAACGCTGCTCTGAATGAGAGCCCTGGCAAACTGCTGCAAAGTTATGTTACATGGACATGGAGCTGGGAGCATCAAAGCCTGGGGATTGCCGCTCCGATTGAGCGTCTCAGGTTAATTCCACATAGGAGTGTCTTTTAATTAAGTTTTTCAAATTCTGCAAAATGAAACAAGGAATGAGTGGTTAGGTGGGAAGAGGATTTATCTTCTGCAAGACATCCCCAGATGTCTACATGGCTGAAGTTCTATATTTCTTCACAGAACAGCTATTCCAGCTTTTGGTCAGCTTTAGTCGGACACAGGTAGTGCCAATAAATTACCCTCTCTGGGAAACTGGTCTCAGCCAAGACCTCCAGGCTGTCCTGAAACACTGTTTCATGCATGCAGAGACATTCGGTCAGTTAGAATGGAAAGTGAGCAAATTGCCCATTAAAGAAAGTGCAAAAGGCCATGTAGCAACAGATTTGTGAGGCCAGCACCAGTGCAGAGGGGACATCAGAGCTTTCAAAATGACCGCCATGTTGCAGCTAAAATAGAAGAGCTTGGCTGTTTTACTCAGCTCTCTGAAAACCTTCAGAGCAGAGGCAAAATTCAGCTCTTCTGCCCATATTTCAGATGTCTAAATAGCAGTTCACAGTGCATGACATTTTGTTTCATGTCAGAGGAAGTTGTGAGCCAGGGATGGACTGTAAATACCCAGACAGGTAGTGCAAGACTGACATTACCCTCAAAGGACAGCATGCCAGGCTGGGGAGCCGCAGGTGCCGTTCACGGGCAGGAGGAGATCAGCAGCTGCGAGAGACTTTCCGTCTAAATACATAATCATTTAAAAAGTGAGATCTGAGTTCTAGACTTGCCTGAGCCCCTAGGAGATCTACTGGGAGACCCAGAACAAGTCACCTCACCGTATGCCTTCGTTTCCCAATATACAAAAGGCGCAGAGTTATACTCTCCTCTTTTATAAAGGCTTTGAATTCTAATAATGACAAAATCTTCTAAGAGTTACAGTATTCCGGACCAGGATTTCTCCAATGTCCAACATTATACACATGGTACCAGACTACCATGGACCAAGGACCATGGACCTTGGTTCTCATCCTTAATGGAAACTCTTAGTTCTTCAAGAGAAAATTCTGCCTCCAGAATTGCACTCCTAAGATAAAATAGGTCTCTTCTCATCCGTTCCTGTCATACTTATCTTATTTTATCACCTTTATCAGAGCTTGCTGGAGTCATTAGTGAAATACGAATCATCAGTCACAGCATCAGACTTACAGCAGGTGTCCTTGAAATTAAAATCCCAGCAAATTGGAGGGCCAGTGTCCCTGCATAGTCTCTATATTTAATGTACACAAATACTGGCTGTGAGTCCTGCTTTAGTTTCTTATTCTGCTCCATACTTGCTAGATACCAGGAGTCAAGGCACTTAATGCCTATGTTTGTAACAGGGGGTAGTACTGCCTTACCCCATCGTGAGTCACATCCAAAGTTTAAATTCAGCAGCAAGTGAATGGGTGTGGAGCAAATAACAAAGCAGTAAACTCCAATTTCCTGGTCATTTTCCCCTAATTCCTTACCCAGCCCTAAACACTAGTTACAGCAGATTTATGCCTGCTCTAATCTGAGTAGGCAATAACAACTTGGAGGGACCACCTGTCACTGAAAATGGGTGTACAGAGGTCATCTGTCTTCACCGCTCTCCAGTCCATGCTCAAACCCTGCACGACAAGCTGCGGGAAGGGTGGCATTGGAGGTAATTGGGCTGATCTGTGCTCCCCATATTATGTTAGATGGGTCATTTTTTTATGTAAGGTATGAATTGATTCATCTGTCCTGCCAGGCTTCTTTAGATGTGTCAGCTAATTGGTATCCCTGCTTGGAAAATCGTCTGAGATCTTCTCTGGGAGGAGATGCAGAAAGAGGTGGCCACATTGTCATGTTGTGGCTACCTGTGGGTGATAAAGCTGAAGTTTATGACCTGCAGGCTTCTTTTCCAGCTGAGGCCTGCAGTACCACCGAGGATGGCGATGAGCCTCTGCATTGCCCCACGGGCTATGAATGCCATATCATCAACCCTGGCAACACCGCCGAAGGAATCCCCAACAGGGGCCAGTGTATCAAGCTGCGTGGAAATCCAGGTCAGCTGACTGGATGTCACCCTTCTTTTCTTGTTCTGTCATGCAAACACAGTAAGATACGTCTCACTCACTGGCTCTGAAGCGAATCCTTGTGTGCTCCCCAGATTTTTGGGGCATCCCAGTGCCCAAGGTAGAGCTCCCACAGTGTTGCAGGCAGCTTACAAGCACCAGTGCCTCCACCAGCTATCCACTGCCTCAAGGGTACCTGTGCTTTGAAACCCAGATGTCTCTGCTTCCAGTACTGGCAACCATGTGACTGGTTAGATATCACAAAGAAAATGTAGCTAAATTACTGAAAGTATAAATGGAGCACACAAGGCAAAAATTCATAGCTAAGTGACCGCTGCATAAAGGCCAGGGCAAAAAGCGATCTTACCAAGGGTGATTAAGTGCCATTATGTCATTGAAGACACTTGGTGGCATCTGTTTTTGTGGTTTATAAAGGGTGTCTTGTGAACTGTACTAGCCTGATCAAAAGTCCAGAGCCCCAAGAAAATGTAAGGTAATAAAAACTACACTGAGTGGTTGAAAGCTATATAGATAGGTGACGCTTGGAAATTAAGTCAGACCTTTGACAAATGTAGACAGGACTATCAGAGCAGCAGTTCTCTGCCTGGACAACCATATGGAGCTGCACTCTTAGAGGAGGTATTGAACAACTGCTGATGTGGAAGATACCATGCCATAGGGAGAGGGCAGTGCTCCTGGGCCTGGGCCCCCCCCATCACTGCTAGCCTCAGTGAGTGAATGCTGGCTGCGAATCGTCCCAGGCTGCAGAAATCGGCCTTTCATGGCTGGAGTCTCTAATGTCCTTGACAGTGGCTGAGCTTTGTGAAAAATACCCATGGAAGGGGACACCTTGTATGTTTGTCCCCTCTGGGACAATGCAGGTAAAGCGGGTAGTAACCTGCAGGTCCCTTTATTAAGCTGCACAATGAGTAGAAATATATATAATAGTACTGCACACTTCATTAAGCAGTGTAAGTCTCAAATTCCAGTTCTGTCTTTAGACATTGCTTACTGCATGCAAAACATTGTTCCTTTTTTTCTGTTGACACATTTTCCCAATAAAGGAGCTCATGTCAGCCAAACTGTTTTCCAAAATAGGTCATAACCTATCTAGGTATGTGTAACTTCATTGACAAGTAGGATATGTAAGTGTAGACTAGGCTACAAGTCATCTCAGTGTAGAGACATGAGAGGTCATTCTTGTCATTTAGTCATTGTAAAAGCCAAGGCAAGCATCAAATCAGATCTCTGATCTGTTTCTATAAAAGATTAAGACATTTGTCATTTTTAGCTTTTCAGCCTTTTATTTTCTTGTTTTGTGTGTCTTTCTTTAATGAAGTCTCTAGTAAGTAATGTAATGTATATCTGTATGGATCTTAGACACTAGGAATTTCAAAGAGCTTAAATAGCAGTATAAACAGTAAACAGAAAAGGCCTAACTGGAACTTGAACTTTGTGGAACACTAATAGATGATCCGAAGTTGTACTCCGATTTTCTTTCATTTAAGAAAGCCCATGATTCCTTAGCTGATAACTCCTGAAAACTTCTAGCGATCAGTAGTTAAGTTTATAGTAGCCCACGCTACCATGCTACGTCAGCTGCAGAGTTCCTCTGTTTTCGTATCTGTAATGTTATTATTCCCATAACTATAATTTATCAGTGCTGTACACAAAGCTTAACACACAAAATGAAGGCTGACTGGAAGCGCTCTCATTGCGTACCTTCTTTTTCAGATGGACGAAACCTAAGGCATAAGTATTACAAGGAATATTTCGGTAAGCTATTGGCATGAAGTGTTTACTATTACTAAGCTTTACAGTCACTGCATTGCTTAAAGAGAATGTGCTGCTTATGAAATGAAGGTCTGTGCATAGCAAAAGAGATTCTTTAGTCTCAGCTTTCCATGGCTTTGTCAAAAGATGTTACTGTAAAAGGTGCAGTGCCCTGACTGGACTCTTGGGAACCGATATCACCTGCTATGATACACTGTGTTAAATGATACAGCCTTCCCCTGGGATTCCCACGCAGGGGATGAGAAATACCTAATCCAATACCCTTTCATGATTTTTAAGTATATTTTTGGAGCTTTGGTTATGGCCTAAGACTCCTTGCAGAACTCGCACAGAACGCAGGCAAAACCGAGTCTTTTGCCAAGAGCTTGCTAAGAGTATTGGGATGTGGGATAACGGAAGTCCCGAGCCCATTGAGTCAGCCCCTTGTTGTTGTCCGCAACCACATCAGTTGTCAGGACCCTTCCACAAACCAGCAGACCTCAAAGAAAGCTAGCTTTTTTACCGCCAGCTTCTAGTAGGCCCATCTTCCAGAAACTCTGCTCTCGTGGCGAGGAAGCTCCTGATCTGCAATCTAAATGTATTCATGGCCAATTTATGAATGCAAAGTGCAGACAAGAGAAAATACGTGGATACAGACAGTAGGGGGGCAAAAGACACTATCTTGCTCATCTAGAAATGGATCTGTCTCAGCACACCAGCAGTCCTTAATTTTTTATTGAAGGCACTATATCAAAAGAGTTTGAAGGAGAGGCTAAAGGAGGAATAGGAAATGACTGTGTAAATATCCATACAGGAGGAAGCTGCTGGTGTAAAGGGAGAGCGTGAGAGAAACTGCAAAGTACTTTCTGGTGAAAGCAAATGACACAGTGATTCACGGGATCTAAGGTCTTGGGAGGGCGGGAGTGTCAGTGCCTTCTTTTTCCCTTCTGCTCCACAGCTTTCATTTTGCTTTGTCCCTTTTCTTCACCTGCAGTTGCCCCTGTACTAACTCTGGATTAGGAGAGGCATGCTCAGATCAGATCGGAAGTGATACAGTGCCAATATAACTAGACAACATCTTGGATGTGATCAGAGTTACAAACAGCCAAATTTGGCCAGCTTAGTTTAAGAAATTATAAAAGGATTTTCATGCCTCAGTTCAGCCTGCTAGCATGCTCCTACCAGAGAACTGCTAAATATTGAGACCAGTAAAAATGTAGTGCTTAGAAATCCTTGTGAAAATATTCGCCACAAACAGAAAGTCTAACGCTGCTGAGATTTGTTTTGCAGGGAGCAGTTCCAACAATGTGGTCGGCTATGTGAAAAACCAGCAGAAGCATTTGGGCTAATCCGAGGTGTTCCTGGGTAAGTGCCCTGAAAATAAAGGGACAGCTAGGAAAACACGTGATGCTTAGTACTCAATTATTTAAAGAAATTGCTGTCTGAGGTGAAATTACCTCTCATCACAGAGCTAGCATAAGGACAGCACCTTACGACTCTGTAGAGATGCGTAGCTCAGTCTCTGTGAATTGAGCTGAAGCACCTGTGCAGACAAGTAGGTGGTGCTGTAGAAGTATCTCAGGATCCTGTGGCATTGCAGATGGGTCTCTGTAAACTGTCCAGGGAGAAGTCTCTGTCTTTCCCATCTTTTCCCCTCTCCACTCCACTTTTTATTCCCATTTCATAAAATGCATCTGATTTCTTTGAAGAACCCTTGCCTTCTGGGTCTTTAGAAGATCAAATGATTTTCAGGATGAAAAGTAAATGCTGCAAAACTTTGTGAGCCTCACAAATTTAAAAAAAAAAAAAAAGGAATTTAAATGGAGATCATCTTATCCAGATAGCATGTCAGTTGGGTTTTGGAGTGTTAGGGATATTTTAGCTAATTCTCAGATGGCATGTTTAGGGCCTTATTCTAATGCAGATATATCTGCATTAAGTAAAAAACTTTTGAAGTAAAAAGTTAAAGTAAATTAAGTAAATTAAGTAAAAACTGATTGTAATAAGGGTCAATCTTGCATATGAGTGGCCACTTAGGCATATGAGTGGCTTCGTGGGGTAACTTTGTGAGAGTCAATAGCTGCACTGAACAGCGTGGCCAGCTCATGTGTGCGAACGTAGTTGTATCTGGCCAGCCCAAAGCTAACTGACAGAGCTCCATTAATTTTATCAGGCTTTGAATTAGGCAGGAGTAAAAATCTTTGTTATAGCAAAGATTCTGTCCTAAGATGGTTTTCTCAATACTTTAAGCTTCACTCTAAAACAAACTTGAGCTTAACTGGCAGTCACTAAAACAAAGCAGTTAAGTATGTCCTTTCCGTGCTTACGTCAGGCCGACTGTTAAGATTACATGGCTGCGTAAGGACAAGTTCTGTGCAAACATCCCGGGAAGGATAAATATTGTAATTGCTTTTTTCTGTTTTTCATCCAGCTGGACCACTCCGTTCAGCAGCCTTCAAGGAATGTTTTACCCAATAGCTGTCTGTTTTGGAAGGGTTCTGGTCCCAAATCTCCAAGAGCACATCTCCAGCATTACCCTGATCCCTACCCACCAGCGATAACAGGACTTCACTGTGCAAGAAACAGCGTGAGTGTAGATTTTAAGCCTATCAACAGAGGGAGAAATGTGATCCCCTGAAAGAAACCTCACCACTTCGGAGCTGCCCTTCTGCAGGTGAAATTTAAATAGTGTCGCGCTGGTCTCTGCAAGCCACAACGGCATTATCGGGCTGCTGCAGCAGAGCATGCCCTTGATGTGTGTTATGTGGCCAGCTCAGATATGGCCCATTCACATTTCCCTATCACAAATGTAATTCAGTAGTATAGAAATGGAGGAAGTGGTGTCAGAATCAGACCTGAGTATTATATCTAAGTTGTATTAAATAAGCAAGACTGTAAAGGGCTCCCTGGGTCGAATCCAGTCCCTGCCTCTCTCAAACAACAGCTTTACAAAATCCTGTGGGTTTCTTCTTTTTCTATTTATGCCTGCGATTCACCAGATTTACACCCAGACTACAAGCCTAAGGCTAAAATCTTAAGAATTGAGAAACTCTGAGCGAGGAGCAAAACAAATTTTATCATATGTTTATCCAGTTACTTTACTTAAACCCCACAGTCTGGTGAGCTGTAGATCAAGAGCTAATGATGGAATAGATTTCTTCCTACAATATCTAAGCAGTCAGAGACACAGACGTGCCAGCCTTTTTAAGTTGCTATTTTTAGCCAGCACAGTTTATACTCACAAAGTATACATCTGTATTTTTGTACCTGCAAAGCCTCAACAGGAGGACTGAAGTCTGGATATTTATCACACATGCTAGAAAAGCAAAAGCAAGACAAAAATGTCTGATTAAAAAGATTGTCTGGCAGATGGGCAACTGTTCTTTAGAAGTCCTGGCCCTCTATGTCGACGTCCACAAATCCTTAAGAACAAGTTATCTGTACTTGGGCCTTGGAGCTTATTTTAGAAGCTTAATGTTATAAAATGGAAAACAAATTTTCTGTGAATGTTTTCCTTTCCTATGGCAGCTCCCTAAAGGGACAGTAGCATTTTGTTTCGACGTGTCTGTCAGAATCAACGGGCAAAAGAAGTCATTTTTGCTCACTTGTTTAGTCCATGTCCCCATTTGCATTCCTAAAATTAGCATTTTGATATACAGAGTAGTAGTGGTATATATAAATACCCAATTCACAAATACAAGCACTTGCTTTCACCCACAAACTATGTTTTTCTTCTGTTCACCAAGCAGTTTAAGCCAAAGCTAAGGTGCCCATAAAACAGGTTAATAGGTTGCATATGACATTTGCAGCTGGAGAGATAAAAGATGCCAAACGGCTCTTTCCATTTCCTTTCGTACATAGACACATTCCTCAGTGCTTTGCAGTGCAAAGGAACACATGAAGGGCTCCACCTTTCCCTAAATATCTCAATTTGTTAAACCCCATTCATTTCTCTGTGCTTTTGTTCCAAGTTCTATGTCTTAAGTGCAACATCATATTTGCACAGCCCTATTTCTAGAATATTGTCATATACAACTCAATGTAATAATTTCTTAACTCCTGCTAAAAAGATAGCAGTCCATATTTCATAGTCCTAGTCTTAGGTTAGGCCAGGAACTTGCCTTTTTTGGAGTGACACTACTTGACATCTTAAAACACTTCAGCTTGTAACCAAAAATACAGGTCTTGCTCCCAGATGCTGCTCAGTGAAACAGCTTGTTTTTTTTTTTTTCCAACAATGTTTTTTTGCAGGACAGTCAAATTGTGATTAAAATGGGCAAAGCTTTTCAGCTGTTACTGCTGGTCACCACAGAGTAAATGCAAAATTGCTCTATTTTAGTATAAAACATTCAGTGTCTGAAAACTGATGAGAATCCAGTTCAAAAATCTGTTCTGAGCACTAACAAATTTAGAAGATTAACACTTCAGATCTCAGCCTAATCTTGCACAGCATCCAAAAAAATGCTTAACTTCAGTGGACACATTCTCATCAGTGGCTGCTTTATCATAGCTACAGAAAGCACAGACCTGACCGCCTTGCTGGATGGAATGGTAAAGATAGTTTCTAACTGCAAAATGAATTTGAAAGAAAACAAGAAAGTTGGATAATTAATAACTTGTTCATGAATTTCTGTTTACTGGATGTTATCAAAGACATCACCTTTCCTATTGGTGCTATAATGTTCGGGGTTTTTTTCTTTTCAAGTCCCTATTAATTGTCAAACTGAGAAACAAAATGCACAGAAGAAACTTGTATAAATGCTGTGTTTTCAGCATTGAAGTCCATCGCACTTTGAAAAAAAATGCAGACCAAATGAATTCTCCTGAGCTTATTTTCTCCAAAGAAAGCGGCTAAACATCAGTCTTCTGAAGCACAGTAGGAAATCACTGATGTAGGGGTCGTTTTCACTAATGTTCCCAAGTACACTTTAAAGTATATTTGGTGCTACAATAAACTTTCCACGTATCGCTGTGTGCTAGCAACGCTCCTGGGCTTCCAGATCCTCCAGCACTACCGGCAGCGTCCGTGGACCTGCTCTGCCTTATGCCGGCTGAGGGTCTGCTGCCACAACCCAGGCAATACCTGTTCGTGCACTTGATGTTCAGACGTGTACTGGTTCTGCAATTTTGGTGCTCAATAAAAAGTGTCCAGTATATTTTTCAACTATGCCTATTTTCAGTTGTGTATTCTTGGCATAAGCCTGTCTTTAAATTATGTAAAAACAGGACAAATGTTTTAAATTTCTGTCACTGGGAAAGCTGGAGAACATAGGTAAAGAGAGACACCGGTCATATTTTCCATGGGAAGTGTGGTAACAGACCCCCTCCCAAGACACATCCAGCACCCCCAGTGTCCTCTGAAGATGGACCACCTCTGTGGGTTAGAAGCTCACTCAGTTCTTGGTGTCTTCATCTCGGTTGCTCTAAGGGGAGCTGACGGAGAGTACTGTGAGGAGGGCAGCCTTTGCTGGGTGCTTGTCCCAGCTACTTCTGTTTTCATTCAGAAAATGCTGGTCAGTAGCGGATGAGTTTGAGCTGTCAGCTCAGGTGGGCTTGTACTGTGCAAGCTGCTGCTCAGACACTTTTGCAGGAGACCAAGCACTATTTCACCTGGCCTTGCTCAAAGGGTAGAAAAGCAAAGCAGATCAGAGGCAAGTGGTGGGCTGGTGTTCACTGCAGGATACCGTAGCTGGAAGAAAAGACTGGCACTGGGACGTTGTGCTGCTAAGCACTGTGTTTCTAGGTGCAGGCGAGACTTTGCCCTACCAGCAGCTCCACCCATGCTATTCTTGCTCTACCTGCTAGGCAGGTGCAGCTGGGAGTCCCTCTGCATCGCTTTCCCACCTACCTTGAAATCATAACAGAGGAGCCACAGAGAGAGAGCAACTACCTGTGCTTTGGCCAAGGAGGGAAGAATGGTATTTTTAATTGCTTCAAAAAGGTTTTCTGTAGCTGTTCAGAGTAGGGCAGATAGCAATAGGTGCTGTGGTAGGTGTTCAGTCTCGCTGTGAAAGTATCCTTGGAACCACCTGAGCTTATCATAGCCATGCCAAGTGTCATCTGGCCTGTTAGGCTGCTGAGTCTACCGGATATGTGTATGTACTTCATGCCTCTTGGTGTGAGGTGTGAGATGGATTAAGTATCTTGGCTTTGAAGAGAAAGATTTATTTGGTGAATATCACAAAATTATGTTTTAATTTCATCTTGCTTCCGGTTTAATGCAAGCAAATACAGTTTTTGCTGGTCTAGCTGGATCATGGCCTTTGTAGAAAACATTGTGTGATCTAAGCCATCACCTTCTGTGGCCTTCTTACTGTCTCTTTGGGCTGCTTATGAAAAGAAGGATCAGGAAAAGGTGCTCCTGTGCCTGTAAGTTCTCCAGGGCACAGGAGGCTGAATCGTTCATTGCACTTCATTTTCATGCAGAAGACTGAAGTACTCTAGGTGCGTCCGTGAACTCAGCAGCTGGAAGCAACAGAAGGAAAACATTGCAATAGATCTACAGGAAAGAGTTATATCTCAGCTAGTCTAATTCAGTTCACTTCCATTCAAGTCAGTGCATCAAAGATGATGTAAAACAGCTGGTGGTCTCAGGAGACTACATTGGCCGGTATGGTTGCTTTTGAATCTTGTGCAGCTACCAGATCATGAGTACTCCAGCATCTGTTAGCAACAGTATTTATTTCTGGATTCCTTGCAAAAGGCCCAAATGACGAGAAAATGCTGGCACTTCAGCTCAGACTTTTTCCACTATCGAAGTAACTTTTGTGACTGTAACAAGGAGTCATTGCTGGGGGTCTGCACTGAAGCTGCAGAGTGCATCTCTAGATCAGCAGTTAGAATTTTCAGGGATGAGAATAAAGCAAAAAAACAAACAAAAAACCCCAGTAACGTTGACCTCTGTTGTTCAGAGCTCCGTTAAGCTCCATGATGGAGAATTACTTTCGTTACATTCAGGAAGTCATCCCATAGTTCATGAGTAGAGGGGACGTCTACGAGGCTGAGACAAACTATAGCAGAGGCTTTGGAGACTGGCAGTTTCTTTTCCCACGCTATATAGCAGGGATTTGTTCATATATGTGGTTGTTTACTTCTCCCATGGCACACTGTGTACTCAGGTTAGACTTTTCTCCAGGGACGGGTGTCAGGTGAGCAGCTATCATCTGTCCATGGCAGAGTGCAACAGCAGAAGAGGCTAAGCTGTTCAAAATACTCCTGGCTCTTCATTCCTCTACAGGCAGAGGAGAGCTGGGAGATTAGCTAGTGAAGCAGTTTTCGTTTTAAGAGTGGCTCTAGTTTTTCTCACCTCAGAAGAGATCTCTTGCTAAACGCTCAGGGCAGAGCAAGGAGAATCGAAAGGGATTTTTAACATCATTTGAAGACAAATAAGAAAGAAACCTTTTACTGGTCAGTATGTATTTCTTCACATTATTTTCTCCTTCTTGTTACCTTTCTACGCAGACAAAGTATCAAGAACCTTGGGAGGAGCTGTGCAAAGCAAAGCAAGGCCTTTTGACGGTTTCCGTAACCTCGAGATGTGTCTGGGGGGCTCATTTCACCCAGCCTGAGTCACCCCCACCAGATGAGTCTCCTAATTTCAGCCGCAAAGGCCGTGCTAACAGAAACCAAGGCATTTAGCTAAATTCCCTCTCCCTTCCTGATGACACTCCTAGCGCAGCCATGGAGGAATAGCAAAGTGAGGCTTTTTACCTAGCCTTTATCAGTAGCATTGAAAAGATGGAAGGGAACCATGACTAAAAACTTAGTTCTTTGCTTTTGGAGGTGGCTGTGGACATCTCAGTCAGAAAACTCCCTGTTCTCTACCACGTGGCACAGCATTGCCTTTTTCTCAGTCAAAGAGATTTTCCCTTTGAAAGCTGTGCCAAGAAGTCTCCTTATAGGCAGGGCTGTGTTCCCGCTGGGAGCAGTGGGTACCCTGCATGGGAAGGGCACAACCTGTGTACGAACTGGTCGAAAATGCAGCACATTCGGTACATTCTGCCTGTGCACCGGAGTTTTTTTCCCTGAAGGTGGCACAAGAGGAGCAAACGTGTAACAACCCCTGGTTGCAGAGGAGGAACCAGGTGCAAGAAACCGGTGTGAGGCACTGGTGTCATGCAGCGATCTTGTGCCCACTGGCGAAGTCTCCATGCATGGAGCAGCCCTCTGGAGCACTAAGGTGCTGAGCCCTCTGCTTTGGCCGCTTTTGGCCAAAAGAGCCAAGCCGTCATGCTACCCTGGGATGGAGCCACAGGGCTTTTGGCTCCCTGCAAGGGCCACGGGGCTGAACACGTGTCCTGTGAGCTCTGAACAGGTACAACTATCAAATTACTGCATACGCTGGGTTATATCTTTAATAGTGTGAAAGTTATATGTGTTATACCAGAACGAAGAGATAGAGGTTGCATGAGGGCCACTTTCTTAACATTATACTCCTTGTTCCATCCATTCCCAGCATTTTCTGAGCCATGAGATGGCCAAACGCATGAATCCTCCATAAGATTTCCTAGCAGGTAGAAATCAGAGGCAGGAAAAGAAACGAAACTTCAGCTAGTGTCGCAATCTAGCAGAATGCGTGGCGAGTGTTCAGAGGTAACTACATTTTCCTTCTGTATTTATTCAACTGCATCGGTCCTAAAATGCAATATCCTGCTACAGGGCCGAATGAATTTAAAGTCGACAGACATGAGCGTGGCGCTGAGCCCAAATAAAATCATTTCACGTGAACTGCAGGCCTGCGGAACGATAGACCGCCACACCGGAGTTACATGGCACGTATTATTATGCTGATTAAGTCACGTTTCTCTTTTCTGCTCATCTCGGTATCCTTGTCGTTGCCCTCCCTATATCACTTCTCCTCCTTGGTGCTCACTGATCTAAGCCAGTAAAAAGCAAGGGGGGCTGCAATTCCTGCGCGCGCCGGGGGCGTCTGCATTAGCCAGGGATGTGGCCCACTGGCCTCGTGTCCACGCTGTGCGTAGTCTGGATTTTGTTCTTTTCTAGCTCGTTCACACAACCCGGGGCTGCCTCTGTTTCCGCAAGCGGAGGATTTAGCTGTTGGCCAAGAGGAGGAAGTTAAATAAGACATTATCAGCCAGAGCCTGTTGCTCAATTAGCTGTGCCGTCGTCAGCGCTTGGCTAATGAGCCCGGCAGCAGGGACAGCACGATCCCGTACAAATCGTGCGGCGCGGGCTCACGCCGGGCGTCAGCGCCGACCCTGCGGTGCTGCTCGCGGCGCCGGGCTGCCCCTCGCGTAGGGGGCTGGGCTGGGGGGGGAGAAAAAGAAGAACAAGACCACGCAAAGCTTTTTCCTCCCTGCGCAGCGAGGGGACAGACGTTTTTCACCACTTTTCTATCAGGGGTGCGAGGAACAATTGAGCCCGAGCGCAGGACTGCGACCGCTGCAGACGCGCTCCAATGAACAGGAGAAGTTGTGTCCTCGCCAGGCCGAAGCCGCCCCGCCGCATCGAGGCGAGCCCGGAGCCAGCTGGCTTCCGCCCAAATCCTTGCAAAGCCGCAGCAAGAAGGAAGCAGCTGAAAAGCAGGCGTGAGCACACGGATGTTTCGCCACCGAATTCCCACAGATCTTGATAAGGTTTAAACCTCTCTCTATACCTTTGGGAGCTTGGGCCTTCTTCACGCCTTCGCTAACAACCGCAGCCCTTGCCTAAACCCTGGGCAGGGCCTGGGCAAGTGCTGCAAGTCAGTGGCCGGCATTATCCTTCGATACCTTCCCGTGGGAAGGAGCGTTGC